ACAAACATTCACCCCCGGTCTACAAGATACCCTTGGACAAAGTAACCCATGGCTGCCGAAAAGGATCCTTCTGTCAGGTTGGGTCGACTACCTCCTCTGACTAAGTAGACCAGGGACCACGATGGCCCGGGACGATGGAACCATGGGATCTTGATCGGGTCCATCATCCATTCCCCCACCATCCGCTTTAAGTGCTAGATGGTGAAATTTTTATTTTTAAATATAAAATCTTTCCAAATTCCCAAATCCAAATCCAGTTCTCCATTTTCAAATATATTGCTGCTACTATATGCCAGATAACACGTATCCTCTATACGTATCTAGCCTTAATCGAAAGTTCTCTCTCGTTAGTGGGAGGGGTAATTAACTATAGGGGCTTGTGCCTATAGGAAACCATAACTCAGATCATAAAGTCCTCACAAAATGAGGGCAAAATCTCTGGGTAGTGTCTTATCTACAAACCCATCTGCCTTCCAAAATTTACCCCGGAACTTATCAGTTAAAACTCCCTCGCCGGAGAATAAAAAGAAACACGCGGTGAGGAGGCTGGGGCCGAATTTTCGGAGCCCACAATAATGAATGAAAATAATGTTTTGATTGGTTGCAAGTTTGAAAGATCCTTGGTGGCTTTTTCCAGGATATAACTTTGGTGAATTCTAATTAACCTTTTGCTTATATTTTGTTCTTTTCCTTTCTATCTACTATTGGGCATAGCTCAAACCCTCCCACCTAGCCTTTGACCATCCCTTCCAACAGTCAAAACCCTAAAGCTTTCTCTCTATTTTCTCCCGTCTTACGATACAAAAGCTAAATTCTCAACACAGCTTCCTTACTCTCCTACATACTTTCTAAAACCCTTCCACACCTCTTGACTAACACTCTCAAGTCCGCTAAACCCAAGCTCAGTCGCAGCATAAACCCTGACCACATCACAAAACAACCATCCACTTATCATGACAACCGAGAGCATCCTTTGCCTTCTTCCTCTAAGATCCTCCCTCCATCACCACATCAGAAACTTTTCCCTTAAAAGTCTAATCATCATTATACCAAATATTTAGCCTTGTTTTAATTATTTAGGTCAGTTTTCTGAATTCTCTTTTTAATTTGTTCTTGCTAAGTTTTGTTTGACCTTTCCTTATGAGATACATGCCATTTATATCACTGCCTAAAAATCCATCGGCATACAAGCACCTAAGGAGTAAGTTGTAGTTTTTATTGTTGTTTTCTTATCAGTGATTTTTAATATACGTTTCCTAATTTTAGCTTACTATGAGGCTTTATATTGTCTCAGTGTTCATGAGTTTAAAATTTCAAGTTTAAATTTCTTTTGTGTAGCATTCTCCTGTCATTAAGAGATGTTGGCTTGTGATGCTGTGTACAGGCTGCACTATGTTCCATTAGGATTGTAAGGAAAGTTCCTGATTTGGCAGAAAACTTTATGAGTCCTGCTGCTGCCTTACTCAAGGAAAAACATCATGGCGTTCTTATTGCTGGAGTTCAGCTATGTGCAGATCTTTGTAAAGCTAGCTCTGAGGCACTTGGATACTTGAGGAAGGTATTTTGCCCAAAACAAATTGCTAATGATGCTTGTGATATCTTTTCCTGCAAATTGATGTAGCATAAAACTACAAAGTATCATATAATCCGTCAGTATGAATCATGCCCTTGAATGTAGAGAAAGGTCCTCTCCTGACATCAATCTGTTTATGATGCTTATATCACGAATTCATGCAAATTCGTAGTAATAAAAATATTCTCAGATATATGTTTATGATGCTTATAAAAATCATTCACACACTTACTACTTGACCAGTAAATGTTTACTCGAGAATAAAGGCATCTCAATCTATATAAGTTGAATGCTCAATTAATCATTGTCAACGAATTTACTGAGGGAATCATTAAGCCTACAAATAAAGGTACAAGAACTTCCATTAAACTCCTTTATATTTATTTTTATTATACAAAAATCTCTCATGATCACCAATTATTTCTCATTAGAATGCGTAACTATTATTATCTCTAAAATTATCTCAGAGGCTTTAAATAATGTGAATGATACTAATGCTATGAGGGAAGTAATGAAAGACAAAAAAAGGGAATTGGTGAAGTTACCAAAAGAAAAAGAGTAGCAAGATCAGGATGTGGATCGGTGTTTTTTATAAAATATAAATATGATCCTTAACTATGCAGGTATAAAATCATTCTTGTTGTTAAAAGCTATATTTAAAAAAATGGGATTGATTATGTCAAAAAGTTTACTCCAATTGTTCAAATGAATGATGTTAGAGTTATCTTATCTTTAATGGTTAATACTTAATAGGGATTGAAGATACAACAATTCAATGTGAAAAATACCTTCTTATATGGTGAGCTGGAGGAGGAAATATATATGGAGGTCCTCAGATCCTATTACGGTTGGTTCAATCAAATATAGAATAAAATGTATGAAGCTAAAAAAGACATTGTATAGGTTGAAGTAAATTTCAAGATTATGGTTTGAAAGATTCATAAATGGTAATGCTTAATATGAAATACAACCAAAGTTAGAGATATCAGACATTATTTGTGAAAGATATGATTTCAGAGAGTCTCCTCACTACTAGTTTATCTTGATGATATCATCAAGATAGTAATTTGAAATGAACGAAGAATTTAAAGAATAGTTAAAATACTTTATTGGCACTGAATTTGCTCACTATCAACTGGAAATTTTCATATCACAACAAACATACATAACATGCCTATTGAAAGAAACTCTTAAAAAGTAGGATACAAATCTATTTAGAGCTCCATGAAATTTAATCATAAAGTTGGAGATGTTTCAGAAACTATAGCAATGGGAAACGCCTAGTATCAAAGACTAGTGGGAGGCTTATCTACCTATCACATGCTAGACCTTGATGTTGCCTATGTTTTTGATGTGGTGAGTCAATTTGTGCACATTTTTAAAGAATCACAATTTAAAACAATATATAGAATACTATAATATTTGAAAGGAATCTTGGGAAAATGAATAATATTAAAAAAAGGGGAGGATTTAACTTTTGAAGCAGTTGTAGATGCTTCTTATGTGGGTTCTATAGTTGATAGAATATCAAATTTAGGATGTTACACATTTTTAGGAGGCAATCTTGTGACTTTAAGAAGTAAAAAATAAAATGCGATAGCAAGATCTAATGCAAAAGTTGGATATGAATTTATGGCTTTGGAAATCTGCAAATTATTATGGCTAAAAATTTCCCAAAAAAATATAAAGGTGATTCTATGAGGCTTTATTATAATAATAAGTCAATGATCACTATCTTATGTATCATGATCGTACAAAGCATTGTTTATAAGGGAGAAGCTTGACGGTTACCTCATCTTTACTCTCGTACTATAGGTGAACAATTTGCTAAAATTCTCACCAAAAGATTATTGATGGGGGATTTGTCAACATATGTAAAACATTTTATGATGAAGTACAACATATAAAATAATATAGTATCTTGAATGTCAAAGGTATGATCTCGCTATGAATTTAATAACAAAAATAAATTTTGAACTTTTCATATTCCTATAAAATTTTTCTTACATAATATATTTAATTGAATAGTATTTATTTTATTACAAGATGCATGTTTCTCGTTTGAGCAAAGCCAGTATGATTTATTACATCTCAAGAGTTTTTCTCCTTTGATAAAATGTTTTATTAAATAATGGTTTACATTCTTTCGAGCAAAATATTTACTAACGTTTTTATATGATTTCAAACATTTTATTTCAAAAATTTGTTCATGAAATTTCAAGGATGATTGGATAAACTTGGAATTGATTTCATAAGGAAACCTGAGGAGAAAGGGTAAGGGTGCTTGCTTTTGAGAAGCGTAGGGGAACTCAATAGTATCCTATATTGAACTTTATATTTTAGGATTGAATTTATATTTTAGCTGATCATTTTATTTTGAAGATTAAAGCTTATATTTTAATAATATGATATTGATGAAATACTTGGGAAGGTGAGAACTTATGACGTACTTGATAATAACATCATCCTTAGATCCTATATTTATGCTGAAAACCATCGATAAGGCAATACTTCAAACTTAAATCTAATGAATGCACGAGATTTATAAACTTGAAACTTCACTGGAGGTTAAGTTAATATGACCTCTTGTCTTATAATGCTTTCTAAAAGGGATGGCCATCTAAATTCATCTAAGAGCTTTTAAAATCGTTCAGTCTTGGTCTTAATGCATATACTTGATAGGCTAGATTTTTTTTTTTAATTTTAAATAAAAAATAGGACTTACAATTTAATCACTTAAGCTAAGATGCATAACTATGAGGGGTATATATGTTGACTAACCAATGCAAATTTTCTTTAGTTTTCTAGTCCTTAATGTGATGCTTTTACTTCTATATGAGACTTACAAGACCATGCAAATGATGCTTATTAGCTATGAAAATTGGTTTAATGTTGATTTTGATAAGCTCGTTCTTATGAATGAATAAGAAGCCAAATAATTCGTTGCATACTAAGATCCATTAGGAGGCTTTACATTTAACTTGATTTTAAATTTTAGTTTATTTTTGACAAGGTATGATAGTTTTAAATGAAAAAAATTGTAACATGGTTGATTTAATATTATTTATATTTTATAGGAATAGAATTAACTTCTAAGGGCCTATCACACAATCATGTTCAGGCCAACCTCAGGCGAAGCATATAAAAAAAACATGCAATTTATATTGTGCATCTAAGGCAAGCACAATCAAATCATATAAATCAACCAAAGTAATAATAAGAAAGGCCCGATTGTGGTTCAGTCAGCAATACAATCCCATTATATATATATATATATATATATATATATATATATATATATATAACTAAATTTCTACCATATACAATCCAACATAGATCTACAGTCTGTAGGTCTTCAAGTTTTAACTTTTGATATAGCCAAAGCTTCAGTTTTGAGATTTATCATTCTGGTTCATCCTTTTCTTTGTATCCCACAACCTTATATAACTTGTTAATATAAAATTACATTTTTGAAAAAAATAAAAATTTTCACCCTTTTCCTATAAAATAGAAGTTATAAATCATGTATATTTAAAATCCATACATTGAACATTCCACACTTTTTTGCATTGATGGTGCCAAGAAAATTTCAGCCCATATTGGCTTATGCCTACTCATGGCTTAAGCATTTAAAATAGTACCTGCAATCAAGATTTGTTAGATTATACTTTTAATTTACTTGCCCCTTTTAATTATGGCCACCTATGTGGAAAAATAGGTATCTCTATCGAATTACTTAAGAGCAAGGGCCCTTTTCAGCCAAACAATAACGATTACATTACAAGCACATGGAAAAAAAAGACTACTTCTAGGATGCCTAAAGGGGTGTGCATTTATTATGTGTTGAGTGGTGTGTCTATCACACTATTATTTGATGCATTTTTTATGATGAAATAGGAAGATATTTACTTTAAGTTATTTCTGACATAAAACTTTTATTTGGCTTTTAAAAGATTTCATATTTTAAAGAGTTATGAAAAATTCATTGAATGACTACAACTTGCTTTGAGTTAAGCTTATCATTTATAGTGTCTTAAGATTCAATGATATAAATACTTTATTGTTGAGGTAAAAATAATACATCATAATATCAAAAAAAACTTAAATAGCTTTTATTGCTTTTAATGATTGTTTTAGTGTTTAGGCTTAAGTGAATGGAAATTTTGTTGAATTGGATTAAACAAATATGTCTTAGGATTTCACTTAGGACTTGTTGTTGAAATTTTGGTCTAGAAAAATTTCAAGATAGAAGGCTCCTATGGAAACTTACAAGTTTGATTTAATTTTGATTTGAGTTGAGATCATTAAACGGTCATTTACTTATTTTGGTTAAGTGAAGAATTTAGAATTTGAGCCTTCATTGGGATATCTACTTGTTTGGGTTCGGTAGATGGGCCTTGGTTTTTAGGCCAAAGGAAAAGAATACGGTTCACTTGATTGGGTCAAGTGAACACCAATTGGCTTTAGGGCTAAAGGGAAAGAATAAACCTGGATGATCGGGCCAAGTAAGGGTAGTATTTGGTCTACAACTTTGGAGCTTAAAAAAATAAAGAAATGGGAACTAAGATTTTTTGTTCTAAGGAGAATCATCTACTCATTTGGATTGAGTAGATGATCTTTGGATTTAGGGCCTAAGAGAAAGAAAATACTCCATTTGATTTTGGTTAAATAGAAAGGGAAATTAGGATTTTATTCTAATGCTGAAGATAGATTCATTTACTTGCATTGGGTACTGATAAATGAAAGGGACATGTGCATCAACATTTTTTGGAGCTAAAAAAATGTAAAGGATCCTATTACTTCGAAGCTAAGGGATAAGGGTTGTGTGATTTTTTTTCATATAACATGTTTGTGTTATTTGCTTGAATTAGGTTCAAGCAAATGCAAAGAATTAAAAGCATTGGTCTCTTATTTGAGGGTTAAAAACTAAGTGAATGTTCTAAAACATAAGAGTTTTAAAGATGAATGTCATTTTTAATTGGGTAAAACAAATGAGAAATGCTAGGCTTAGGGTTGAATACATAAATTTTTAATATTTGTTGACTTTGGAGTCAAATAAATTGAATAGACTAATGCTACTTTATAATACCATATAGGCTATGTAGGAGCCTCCATATAGAATTAAGAAAGAGCATTAGGGTAAAGAACTTAAATGGGAGAGGTTTTGATTGAGTTGGTTTCAATCGAAATCAACGCAAAGCTATGATTTATCTGATGTTGCTTTAGCTCCTAAAATGTTCTAAGATGCATAAGATAAAGTTTTGCAGGTTAAGGGAAAATCTAGAATAACATCCATGAAGAGAGAAAATCCTAAAAAAAAAGAGAATCTTATTTTTTCGACCATTTTGGATTTGTCAAATTGGAAAGGTCACCTATGGCTTGAGAAATAAAATAAGGTTAACTTTGGCATAAATATTGATTTTTAAAAGTACATAGAAGTTGATTTTTGTATTTTAGGAGTTTTTTATAATTATTTAGGATTTTGCTTTTAAAATTTAAGATAATTAATTATTTCATTTTCTTGGTTTAGCTTTTGAAAAAATACTAAGGCGGGTTTAATTAACTCCAACCACTATGAGATTTGAAAGATAGAGCTTTAGAGGTCTATAAAATATCCCATATGGATTTTATAATTTTAAAATTAATTAAAACCAAAACTTAGGAAAATTGAAAACCGTTGTAGGTAATGGGTTCCTATAATTTTAGGTTAATGCTGTCATGATTTAGATTTTAATAGGAACTTAATATTTATTATTTCATAAATTTGTAATTTTATTATAATTAATTATGAATTTAAAGAATTTTTAGGTTTTATTTAAATTCCATTATTGGATTATTCAGTCATCTTGGGCCCACCATTTTTTGAGTGGGAAAAGGCAAGGTCATGATAAATGGTCAAGGTCACTTTGATCTATAATATGGTTCGACTAGGATAAAATCTAAGATGTCTAGTTTGGATGAATGAATGTGGATTTCATGCATAGAGGATATTAGACCTGAATATGACAATCCAATGCTTTCTCCATCATCTTGTTTCTTCGGCCCTTGAATTAGATCATTCGTTGGAGGTAAATGGATCTCCATGGACTAAAGAGGAAGGCAATAGGATTTTGGGCTAAGAAGCATCTTTAAAAGTTACCTAATCGGACATAGGTTTGGTTGGGCTTGTCACACACATGCACACACAATCTAATGGCTGATAGACCAAGGCTTTTTAACTTTTCAAATAAAATACCTAATTCAAGCTATTGTTTAGTGGCAAACTGACCGTATACTTTCTTCTAATAGAGATGAAGGCAACTGAGAAAATAGTTGAACACTTTCTAATGCTTGAATTGCTTTGGACCCGACAATCCCACCAGCTCATAGGACTTGATATTGGCTGGTTTTAATAGTCATAAATGAAGGAAGCTCATAAAAGATTGCTGCTCGAGCTCTAAAATTTTTAAAAGTCTCCATCTTTTCTTCAAAGAAAACTTCCTCTGCTCGATTGAATCAAGGTTGTAGACAAGGATGACAAAGGAGAGAGTGATGTGAGAAAGGGAGAGTCGCTATGGGAGGGTGACCGAATGGGATGAGAGAATTGGAGAGGAAGAAATGACCTGGACCTACTCAGCTCGCAAGCATCCCATGTGAGAGAAAAAATGCCTCTGTCTCTTATGAAAATGAAAAACCACACTTGAGTCCTACATTCTACCGACTCAAAATGAAGATGAGAATTTGAAAGGCTATTGACCCCTAGTTCATTATAGGAAAACATAAGTGATCGATTTCCATTACCTTGATAGCCTGCGATTGTTGGCAGTAGTAGAGGATGTAGGAAAAGGGCACACGACCACTAGGACCTGCTGTTTCTCCCTTCACATCTCAAGTCTTTCAATCTCTTATCATCTAATTTGTAGAGGTTTTAGGAATGCTAAGGCGGCTAATGTATAACTTTTTTTGGAAATGGCTGAATCAAATGAACCAATAAGATTTAAGAGGATTCAATTTTGGGTATAGAATGGATTTATTCAACTGATTTGAGCTTAATGGAACTTGGGTTGGTTTTTAGCTGTTTGGGCTGAAGCAAATGAGCCAATGAAAACCTATTTGGCTCAATTAGAATTAATTCAACCAACTTGAATTGGCTTGGGTAAACTTGAGATAAAAATTATTCGGGGTAGTTTTTTTTCAATATTATTAGTAGAATTCAAGTTGAATGGTTGAAATGGAGGAGTGCATCGGGCCTGTTGTGTGATAGAAAAGTACCTCTCAAATTTAAAGGAAATTTTTATAAGGTAGTGGTGAGATCTTCAATGCTTTTTGGTACAGAATGTTGGTCATTAAAAAAAAAGCATAAAATTAAGTGTTACAAAGATGAGGATGCTCTGGTGGATGAGTGGCTTTACACTTAGAGACAATGCGAAATAGGTATATTCGTGAAAAGGTTGAAGTTGCTCTATTGGTTGATAATATTAGAGAGAGTCGCCTTAGATGGTTTGGTCACATAAAATGTTGGCCTTCTGATAACCTAGTTAAGAGAGTAGATGCATTAGATCCAACCTATGCTAAGAAAGGTAGATGTAGGATTAAAAAGACTTGGTTAGAAAGTATTATAAATGAACTTTTTTTTTTATTATATTTAAATGGGAATTTGACTCTTAATAGGACACAATGGAGAAAAATGATTCATGTCGTGTAAGTGGCCCCACATAGTGGATAAATGCTTGTTGTTGTTGGTATATCTTTCAAAATTTTGATGCTTTTTGATAGAATTTATGTATTATCTTGATTTTTGCAATCCAGGGTAGAGAGGAAACAATTTGTGTATGAAAATTTATAATTCCCATTTCATGCGGGGTAGACATTTAAAGAACAATATAAACTGCTGTTGCTTCCTCATAATTTATTTCAATACATATTCTTGCCTAACCAATAGCTATTATAGATTGTATTTGCAAACTGTAAAATATAGTTCAGATCATTTATTTGCTGTTCTCATGAAAGTATAGTTGAGGCCATAAATGATCTGTTCTCTATTCTTTCTTTTTAAATAAAGCTGCAGGGGTGGTAATTATTTTGTTTGTAACATTATATAACAAATAAACAATGGCTATGTAATGAGCAGTTTTTTGTTTTCTTAATGGAGCCAGAATGGCATTATAAGCATTATGTTTTGTGATGATGTCATGCAATTTTTGACACAATGAAGCACCTGCAATTCTTGAATTCTAGTAGTGCTGTTATACTAGGTGAAATTTATAAAAATCATGTCTGCATTGGTGTTATTGTTATAGCTGTGAATACTGAATACTGTATTTTACTCTAATTTCTATTAAAGTTGTGAAACAGTCTTTATTCACAATTGCACCTAACTAAGGAGCCCATTTTATCAAATAAACATTATTGCTTGGTAACAAATTCTGAATTTTTATGGATTTCCTAAGATACCATTGATTTTTGTTTGTGTAAATTCTACAGTCTAATGTCATTTCTTGCTCCACCACATTTATCGATATATCTTGACATTTGCTATAAAGCTATTACTATTATTTCTATATTTTATGGGAATTTATGTTTAAGGCACTTATTTTTGTCATTTCACTGTTAAATCTAGCTTCTTAGTTTTTTGGTTGATTTTACTTACTATATTTAGATTAATTTTCCACCTTGACCATAGAACTGCACAGAGGGATCAGTCCGTATACTGAGAGATGTTTCCAACAGCTCATATGCACCTGAGTATGATATTTCTGGAATTACAGACCCATTTTTACATATCCGAGTGCTTAAGCTGATGAGAATGTTGGGACAAGGAGATGTGGATGCAAGTGAATTTATCAATGACATTCTTGCTCAGGTCAATTCTTAGTATTTGATGTTCTTTTTCACTTCTATGAAGGTTTGTTATGTGCTTGTTTTGTTTGTGGAAGTTCATATTGATTTGACAGATGCAAGTTCTTGGACTTATCAATTCAGTTTTCAAATGTAAGGTCTAAGACCTATATTTAGTGTCAACTTGTACAATGGAATATTTTCTTAGTGATGATAATGATGCATTGAAAATCATGCATGATAATAATGGCCATTCTCATGGATAATTATTTTCCTAGACATTACCAATACACTTAATTCTTCACTAATTGTGAGTTGACTTTTGCTTTGGATGCTTTTTTTACTTGAAATTTATTTGTTTCTCATCCTTGGTGGGTTTTACTGATACTGTCATTTATGCCTGATGAAGCACATAGGTTTTATGACCATCATAGATTAAACTTATGATTATCTGACAAGGACTTCGTATTAATGCTTCCAATTTCAGTTGCAAGCAAGTACTTAACGTAATTTTCCAACATAACAGGCAATTTCTTGATAGGCTTAAAATGCGACCGAGAAAAATTTGACTGGGAATCTGGAGCCTGGTCGAGGAAGGTTGAAGGTTAAATATTTGTTTAACAGGCAATTGTAAATAATCATGCAATGATAAAGAATTCAGTATTTATTAATGCCGAATCATTCCCAGCAATTGACATTCCAAAACTATATTGCTTGTCATTAGAAGTGATGAAGGATTGTCAGGACATAAAGATTTACCCTAATTTAGATTTTAGAGTTAAACACCACCGGAGCCACCTATTGGAATGAATGGAAGATGAGGATTCCTAAAATGCTCCCGAAATATTTGTAACAGGGTTAAGGAGGATGATGATGATTTCTATGCTGACTGACTTTTTCCATTTATCAAACTATTATTTTCTAATGTTTTGTTATCTTTTTTCCTCTCAAAAAATCTAATTTTATGTTATTGTAATTTTATGGTGCTGATTGCTACATGCATATAGTATAGTGTGCGTTATGTCATTTAACAAGTAGATCGTAATCATCAACCAAACTGGCAGCGATGACTTTTTCATTGTGCTCTACAATTCTATTCATTGTGCTATTTGTTGACTTCATGAGCTATGTCAGGTTGCTACTAAAATTGAGTCCAACAAAAATGCTGGCAATGCTATTCTCTATGAGTGTGTTGAAACAATAATGGGTATTGAGGCTACTGGTGGCCTTCGAGTTCTTGCAATCAATATCTTGGGAAGGTTCTTGTCAAATCGTGACAACAATATCAGGTCAATCTTTATCAGCAGATGTTTTCAAAATAGTTGTTTGTAATGATTTCTCAATTTTGTTATCATTGCTTTATTAAAAGGACTAACTTGAATCATATTTGATGCAACCAAAAAGCTTCCAAAACAAGTGGGAGACCCTTCGTCACAAAAAAGAAACAAAATAAAAACTAAACTAAGTCTCCACAACAAATTGAAGACCACAACGTATACTAAACACTTTTTTTATTTCATAAAAATAGAACATACAACTTTAAATAGAAAGACACAACATAATTTTTGTAAAACAAGACATTACTTTGAAAACTTGAAATGACACTTATAAACTTATATAAGAGAAGTCCTAGAGGTAAGAAGCCGAGACGAAGGAGAGGACAAGCTCGCAAGCTTTCCCAAGTAGAAGAGAAGAATGGAACAAGCTCTCAAGCTTTTCCAAGAAGAAGACCCTCAGATTTTATTCCAAAAATAACTTCATAAACTCCTCTTTTTGAATACAAAACATCTAATATATATAGGAGAAAAGGGGCAGCCAAACAGCTCAAATTACCTCCATTTAAACCAATTAAAAAGGGGAAAACATAAGGTCAGCAATCAGTCCGGAAACAACACCCGAAGAGCCACACAGGAAACCGAAAAAGGCAGCCAAGGGGGGAGGAACAGACAGCCAGGGGAACCGGGACAGGCAGCCAGGGGAACCAGAACAGGCAGCCAAAGGGAACGGAACAGGCAGCCAAAAAGGGGGGAAGAACCAACCACGGGAAGGAGCCAGGGGGAGGAACCGAAGAGGCAATTACAAGGGGGATGAACGCCCCCCCCCCCTGCCTACATCAATATTTAATGTAACATTGTTGGAGAGATCATAGTTAGTTCCTTACCATTCCTAAGCACAACACCTCATGCATTGCTACATTTACATAAAAAAGGTTGCACATTACCTATAGAGTCCTTCTGACGTCTTTTAGTAGATATCCCTATATTGGTAAAACGTGATTACTTCACTCTTTTAGTTTCATGAGATCGGAATGAAAAAGAATGGATGAGAAAAATTAATCTTGGTATAGCATTTCCTTTCCGTCCTCCTGTCATACTCACATGCCAACAAACAATAGTCAAGATGGTGACTTGCGTAACAATGATAAATAAGATCCTTGCACTTAACTGAGACCTTGTAAAATAGATTAAATGGAAAATCCATGTTATTTATTATTCCTTAGAATTCATTCAAAATGGAAATAGGTTTGTCAAGGTTTGACTTAGGTATATAGCAACAATATGGCTTATAGCGTGTGACTTTCTTTGTCTGTGGGTTTGTATTATGGTCTAGTTTTGTGCCTAACGGTTTCTTGCGCGTGCTTCTTCCATTATTCCTATAACTAGAATTACTCTCTAGTTCTTGTAGACATATGAATTTTTGTGGGTGATGTGAAACATACATGCATGGATGAATTGCTTTAAGGAATTTGCACACGTAATATTCATGGAACAAAGAATTATATCTTAATGTTGGATTTAACGACGCAATAAAACACTAAGAGCGGTAAGACGAGCTTAGGACGAATCACGTGCATAAAAGTTAAAATAAGAAAACAGTCAATTTAATCTAACGTTGCATACATGGATGGTTTCAACAATAAATCCCTATGCCAACAATAAGATTAGTCACTACAAGAGATCCCTCACTCAACTCTTCTAATTACTAGGCTTTAGCGGGGAGCAGGACAGCCCCTGATCTTTGCAGAAACTCCATGGACAGCAGCTGTAGGGGCTGGAAATCTTCTGGACAGCAAATTGTAATCTCCAAAAGTGCAAGACAACAAGTGCTTGATTGAGAGGGGATTAGGTTAGATGAAAAGGAGAGGAGGGAAAGTTAATAAATCTGAAATTAATTCAGATTTAAGTGAATTTGGAGGGAATTGAATTTGAAAATTTGAATTCAAATCCAATTAAGGCTTAGGTTTCATTGGCATTTAATGGGTAATACCCATTAATGGGGCCGGCGGTTTCAAGAGAGAGAGGGAGGGATTTGGGGAGGGGATTTGTAACTTCCAAATCAATTTATGTCATTTAGGAAAGAGAATGACAACTCAAATCTAATTTGAAATTCAAATAAGCTTGGAGTTATGCACTTTCCTAATTTAGATTTGCAAATAAGGAAAGTTTTTTTTTTTTTTTGAAATTTGAATTTCAAATTTCAAATTGAGAAAAGGGACTAATAAATCCAATTTGATTTATTTTGAAATTGAGTTCATGAATGATACTTTCCTAATTTAGGATTCCCTATATGGAAAGAATTTGAAATTTGAATTTGAATTTCAAATGAATTCAAATTTTCCCTCTCATGCTTGAGCTAATTAGGAAGTCATTATGGTGATTGAAATCATCATAATGAGGGGAAATTATGATGGTGGCCGGCGGCAAAGGGGAAGGGGGGCGGCTAGATGGCGGGTTGAGGCTAGGTAGGTGGGTGGGATTTAGGTGGTGGAGCTAGAAGATGAATTGGGTGGAGGAGGTTGAGCCACCGGTGGTGGGGAAGTTGTAAGGGGTGGAGTGAGTGGGGGAGAAAGGAGATGACAATAAAATACAAAATAAGGTAAAAGTAAGCTAACGGACTCACAAAGAGATCGTAAAACCGCGAACCTTAGACTATTCCAAAGGTTGACGGGTATTGCGATTGCCCACACCTTGGGTCTCTCCTCCCATGAACTCACTTAAAGATCAAGCAAAGAAAAATAAGATTTCATTTCAATATTCATCATCCCCTCTCCAAGAGGAGGGAGAAGGCTTAAATAGCCAAATACATGAAGGAAAATAAAAGACACAATTTCCCCTAGGGCAAACATAGGACAAAGCCCTCAAGTGAGGGTAGAAAGGGAAAAGTACAATAACAAATCAAATACATAAAATATAAAATAAATAGGCACGATCGTAGCCGTTGATCTTCGATGTCCTCATCAGTGGGTGTTCTTGATCTCCGTATATATTCCAAAATTGAGTTCGAATGAATGCGAAGAGAACGATGATTTATGGATGCGAGGTCGTGCAAAACGAGCATCGAAGCAACTCTATGCCTAGTATCGCTTGATTACAAAATAGATTACATCGACGAACTCAAAGTGTCAAATTTACCCAAAGGGAGCTGATTATGCATAACTCTATGGTCTTTTTGCAAGTCGAAAGGGGAAATTGATTGTGCGCGAGTCGACAACGACACATTTCGAGAAGCATGGAAAATGAGAATTTATGCGAGTAAATCACATTTTTCTTTTATTATAAACTAATTAATGTTATTATGATAAATTGTTTTTTAATTTATGTTTATATATAATTTAAATATTACAAAAAAAAATCCAGCTTCAGCTTCCCAATCCTATCTCTGCCTCCCACTTGATTTAAAAAAATAATAATAAACCTAAAATACTTTCCTAAGATAACCTCTGAAAATCATTTCCCAGCTCCCCTTCACTACTTCACACGAGCACAACCTTCACACCCGAACTCCTCTTCCTCAACTTAGTTGTTGTCCTCTCCTACCCCAAACCTCTGTAACGTAGCAAGCCCATGACCTTTCCTCTCTAGCTCTCACCCTTATTCCAAGTGCCTCTCTCTCCCAGTCATACCCGACTACAACCCAACCAAATTATGGGTCGAAACCTGCTCCAAGCCCACCCCATCTCCACCTTCTACAGCTCTTAAGGCCGCCGGATACTTGCCCAAATCTTCTTCCCTCCATCCCAACTGGCCACAAAAATTCCTCCCCTAAACCAAATGGCAGCTTGACCCACTTTCAAATAGCTCACGCCACTTCCCTCACGCTCTCGACTCCCATCCACATGAACTCCCTCCGAATCTGTTTCATGCAAAGAGGCTCAATCCATTCTTCTCTTTACAACACCTCATCTCTAACCGAACTCCTCTTACCCTTCATCCCAACCGGTCACAAGCCGCCCAATCCATTCACTTCAAACCAAACCCATCCAAATCCACCTTTAGCAACTTTCCTTCAAATAGAGAGCAACTAACTATTACTCTCCCTTCCATTCTCTCTCTAACAAGAGGGAAACTTTTTCTCTACTCTTACAAAAACACCAAGTAAAAAAAAAAAATTTCTCTCACATTTGTCTTACTTTCTCTCTACCACCCCACCTACACCTCTCTAACAAAGAGCCTCAATCTCTCCCTCTATTATTTGTATTATTATTACTCTTATTAGTAGTAAAAAGAAAGAGAAAAGGAATTCCAAAAAAAAAGAAAGAAAGAAATTGTGTGATTTGATCCTTCGTCGCTTTTGGGCTCTCGAAACCGTCATTGTTTCCTCGCTTGCTAAGGTATAATGCTCCCTAAACTTAAAATAGCAAAATCATGTTGTTGGCGCTTGCGGTGTAACGAGCAGACCACCTATATGTGCTTTTCGTCGCACGGCTGGAGGAAGCTTGTACATGACGCTTGTGGTGAAGTGGGTAGGCCTTGTACGCGCTTTTCATAGCGTGGCGAGAATACTCCTAAGTACTCGTATGCGCTTTCATGCCTGCAAAAAATTTGCGAACTTTTCTGTAAGTACCTCGAAAAACCATTTATGTTTTTCATAGTGTGATGGAATTGAATATATCGGCCAAGGTGTCATCCAACACTGATCATGCATGTTTTTTTGGCATGATGGGCAGGTTTAGACTCCCCAAAATTTCTCTCAAATGGGGGATCTGTCGAGAAGTAGTCGAAATTTTGTCTAAATAATGATTGGACTTATAACTTTTAAAGTAATCTGCACAACTAAAAAAATGCAATGAAAGCAAAGACTTAAATGAATTTATAGGGAATTGGACTTAAATGAACATTTGATTTAAAATTTTAATTGAATTTATGAAACTCAAAAGGCAATAGCAGTGGACTTGTAATTTAAATGATAGCTCGCCTACTGGCGTTAACAAAGGACTTCTAATGAACATATGAATTTGATTACGAGCAAAGATCATTAAACCTAGAATGCACACAATAGCCCGCCTATA